CGAAATAGACTGACTGATGCCAAGAACAGACTCAGCCAAAGAAATCCAACAACAGGGATAAGAGAGAGCGAGAGCGAAAGAGAAGAGAGAGAGAGAGAGAGAGCGAGAGAGAGAGAGCGAGAGAGAGAACGAGAGCGACGAGAGCGACGAGAGCGAGAGCGAGAGAGAGAGAGAGAGAGAGAGAGAGAGAGAAAACGAGAACGAGAGCGACGAGAGCGAGAGCGAGACAGAGAGAGAGAGAGAGAGACACTCATAGACTCTCGACACATGCAGGCACCGAAGCTTACACAACTGACACCTGCAGGCACCCGGCTAAGGCCCTGGCAGAACGGACACACGAGGATTTGGATGGATCTTCGGCAGCACCTGGCAGCTGAGCCCCACAGACTAAGTTTGAGGGAGCTTCCAGGAGCTGTGGTTTGTTCTGGCTATGTTAGCTCGCCTCCTCCAGCTGCTGGATGAGTGAATCCATGGCTTCCTCTATGTTCGAAGACCTTGGGAGAGTTTGCGAGATTCACGGTGATGACGTCAATGCCAAGGTGCAGGAGCGATGGCTGAGGGTGACACCCAAGCTTATGGAAGAGGGACTTGACTTCCTTGGCCATTCGCAAGGCCTGGCCATCAGAGTCCATGAGGTTGAAGCTTGGAACAAAAAAATGCTTTTCCAAATGCGATTGGGACCTCTGCATGGCAGCCCTTCGAGACCTGGCCAGCCACTGCCGTTCGCCTCAGAACCGACCGCCAAAAGGTGATACCCTGACCTCTCGTGTCTATAAACTCTTGGTGACATCCGTCTTGGTGACAGCCGGCAGCTGTGTCAGTGAGGGAACTGGAAAACTCCAGCTAGATCATCCTACAAGCAGCAAGTTTGTGGAGGATGTTTCGCCATCGGAATGATGTCTGCAAGACTCAACATCCCATCTCCCTCCTGCCAACAGACATACGGCGACCAGCAGACCGGATTGAGTATATTGAGTAGATAGAAGCCCTGTGCGCAACGGGGGAGGATTGCGCCGAAACGAATCCTACATCAGCAGTTTTGAGTACAACAGCAGTATGAACTATGAACTATGAAGTCTGGTGCACAGCAAAACACTACGGAAGTTGGATCCAGAGCTGAGGGAAGGGCATGGCGCAAGCCTCCAGCCATCGGTCGCCACAGCTGCGCCCAAGAACCGCTGCCTTGCATGCTTCCAGGGTACGTGTCATGCAAGGCATCACCGCCCTCCGACACAGGCCTGCATGGCAGCTTCCACTCCTCCGTCGAAATCATCCAGGAGAATCTTGCCTTTGCAGCTGCACACGGAAGATGCAGATTGCAACTGGTCCACCCCCGGTCTGCGTGCAGCTGTGCCACTTTGTGCGGCAAGATGCGATGCGCGGCCCTGACTCCTGATCTGCAGAACCGGCAGAAGGAAGCTAAGAACGTACGCCGTGCGCCTCTTGTCGCCCAAGAGAAGGAAGGCCACCCGAGCTTGCTCGGCCACGGCGGCTGCTTCCGTTCGGTTTTGAAAGATGCTCACCAAGGGGCCTGGAATGCGCTCGCCAAGTGCAAAAGAGCACCTAGTGACTAGCATGACTTGCAAGTACAGTCCTCAACGCTATCAACCGGAAGAGTATGAAGTGCAGGGACGAGACCCCGCCAAATGAAAACAAGGGAATTGCATGTTGCCTTCAAAAGCCAGAAGTGCAGCGGCAAGCTGAAGCTTTGCAGCAGCCTTCCAGCGCGCACCACTCGAGTAGACTTAGAGACTTAGACTCTCAGTGCTGGGCTCCGAAAGAACGCATGTTCACGCGGAAAAGACGACGTCTGGCCTCCGCTCTCCGGTCACCGCTGCCCGCCGAAAGCGAAACGGCCTTGAGAACTTGGTCCGAAAAGTTCCGACTCACAAGGCACATTCAATGCCACCGGAGTTGGGCATTGATGGTTCGCGTCATCTTTTTTGGAACGTCATGTCGTGGCGACAAGGGAAAGGAGCGACCAGGACTTTATGCATGGAGAAAGGGGTTCGTGGAGATGTGATAGAGGCCTAAGATGTGCACACCGCGACCCACCAAGCAAGGATCAAATGCTTCCTGGCGGAGCTCCCAGTGCAGGCTACGTCTGACAATCATGCACCGCCTCGCGAAGCAGCTCGCAAGCTTCTGCTGCGCTGGCTGCAGACGCCTCAGTCGGGCAGGCAAAGGACCATAGTGAGCGGGAAATTACGGAGTTCTCGGGACGAGAGTTTGCATAACCAAGCAAGGTGGGCGCAACCATGTCCGGCACTGCTTGCTGCACTCCGGCAGCACTGAGAGAATCACAGCCGTTCTCAGCGCGCATGCTTGCGAAATGGTGTCTTTTTCCTCACCTGAGCAGAGGAAGGCTAGGACATCCAACATCCCTGCATCACCAGACAAGGTGGTGGCCTAAAATGCTGGCAGCCTCCTTGGCAAGCTCCAAAGCCTTCAGAGTCCCAGTCCCAAGCCCCAGTTGGAGAAAATTGCTCACGCGACATCATCCGTGAAGGTTCAGCTGATATGTCAATGGGTGGTCATGATAGGAGCGTCCTCTGAAGACTTCTCCAACTTCAGGGTGGCAACGGCAGCCGCATGCTTTGCTCGTGCTTCACCGGACCTCCAGATGCGGAGGCGTATCATGGCGTATCGTTTTCTCACCATGCCCTACTCGAACCCAGCAGACGACAGCTTCAGCTTTTGACTGGCCTGTCCCCAAGCTTTTTGGCCAAGGCTTGTGCCTGAGCATCATTTTGACAGGGCCATCTCAAGTTTGAGGGAGAAACTTGAGTCGTACGATGCACTCCTGCTCTTCTGCTCACCAGCCCCACTGCTGCCTCCTGCGCCCGCGCCAGTGCCGCCTCTCCGCTCAGCACCGCGCTGAGGCCAATGAGTAAATCCACCTTCGCCGTTGGAGGCTCCGGGTTGTCGTGCACTTGAGTCACTTGAGGAAAGCAAGTCACGCACCTGACCGGCTTCATCGCCGATAGACTTGCTGATTTTTAGTGCCTGCGATGGTCTGGTGACAAGCATCATTTGCCGCCCACGTGAACTGGGGAGAGTTTGCCTCTTCTGCGGCAGAGACTCGATCAGTGCTCTGTGCCAACGCAGCCTGGAACCATGGCGCGGCCAGGAATCAGCAAGCAGTCACCACTCCAGCTGCAAACGAATAGGTAAACTTGCATAGGTCCAAGAGCGACAAATGCCTAAACGCGAGCTGCTTCTGGCTGAGCACCGGTCCGTTTGAAGAGCTGCTGCCTGTGCCTTCTTGTCACCGGCCTGCCCATGGTCTACATCACCATGCTCCAGGCGACTACTGAGCGAGGTGGCCTGCGTTTCAGATCATTTCAGGTTCTGAACACCGTCTTCACAATGAACACAACCTTTGACCATTGCCGGCCTGCACGAAGAGTGCGGCCGCATCTTTGGCGTACTTAGCTGCCTGCAAAAAACGAGAGATTGGATGAGACTTCCGAGTCCAAGCTGCTGCTCACGGGCCTCGTCCTTGGCACTGCTCATGGCCAGCTTCTGCAAGGCCCTTCCCTGTGAGCCGGAAGAGGCAGAGCACAAGAAGCGGGGAGCGCGTGGGACGGGGTGACAACACATCCAAGCCAGAGAGACGCGGAATGCTATGGGAAAGGCGGGAGCCGGAGGGCAGACAGCAGGCAGCACGCCCTCTTGCTTCAACTTCTCGCGGGTTTTCGGCTCTTGAAACCCGAGAGCCTCCCCAAGCTTGTCTCCCTTGGCTTTGTAGTAAGCAAGTTGTTCCTTGCTGACCTGCGAGACTGGAGTAGTCGCACCACTGATGTTCCTTTGCTTCATCAGGGCCCTGCGGTCGCAGCTCCAGCGGCTGGGCCGTCTTTCGCACAAAGGATATCCAAGAGCGTGATCCTGACAGAATTCTGCAATCTCTCTCTGCTGCGCCGGCTCTGGTCTTGCTACTCTTTCCCGGGGATCCGGCTGAGCTGCTTCTTCTCCATCAGTATCACCTATCCTTGGGGACACAACATGCAAACAGGACCTCAATCCCTCGATGCAAGTACTTTAGCAAGGTCATCAAGTTAAACTAACATGAATTTTCTCAAAGCCGTTCCAAGCATGCGGCTCGCGGAAGAGCCGCAGGGCATCCTTTGCTGCCGCCTCGCCCACGCTGAGCTCTTTCCTGCAAAGGTGCAGGCAGTCAATGCTCCATGTGTTGCAAGCGTAAGAGGACATGGTGCGTGTCGGTTTTTGTTGGATGCTTTGCAGATGTCTTTGCCCTTTGCCTGCTGCTGAGCTGCAATGTCCCTCCGTATGTTCGCTCCGCGAAACTGATCATGTGAGGCTCTGTGTGTTTGTTTATGCTAAACCTAAGCAGGTGTGCTACGTCAAGTAGCTGACTCATTGGTCAAGCTCCAGCTAGACAATCAGTGGTAGGTTGGTGGGTGGGTAGGTGGGTAGGCGGGTAGGCGGGTAGGCGGGTAGGTGGGTAGGTGGGTAGGTGGGTAGGTGGGTAGGTGGGTAGGTGGGTAGGTGGGTAGGTGGGTAGGTGGGTAGGTGGGTAGGTGGGCAGGCAGGCAGGCAGGCGAGCGGGTAGGAGGCAGGTCGGTAGGTAGGTCCAGGTAGGTGTGCATATATGCATGTATGCATACATGCACTTGCATGCATTCACTAATCCATGCATGCATGTCTGTGAATGGAAGCGACCGGGGCCCCGGGCAGGTAGAGCCGTGCGTTGGCCATGGCTGTCAGCGTGGAAGCCTCCATCTGCTTGTCACCCACCTGCGCGGAGCACCGCAGACTGCGGCAGACTGCGACAGCTAGCATGTTCCGCAGTGACTCCACCGCCGGCCAGAGCGACCGCCTCCTTGTAGGCGCTCAGGGCTGCCATCGCATGTCCTCGAAGGGTGCATTCCCTCTTCCTCCCCACTGTGCATCGGTATGTCACGTAAGTCCCCGGACCCACCGCGACTTTGGGCTCCGTAGAAAGCTCTGCCAAAGCCAGGGCCAAGGTGGCTGAGGCCTCGCCCTCCTGGGCACAGTACACCAACGCAGCATTCGTCTGAATAAAAACAAGAAGATGGGTCTCAGGTTCGCACCTTGTTGCCTTTCAGTGTAGCCTGTGCTTCCTTTGCAGCTTCTGCCGCCTGAGTGGTTTTGCCTCACACAAAAGCAACAAGGATGCCTGACACTCGAGCCGAGTCTGCCAAATTAAAGCTAGCTGAGGCATTCGCCATCCGCGAGGTGGGCCATGGAGGCCAGAATGCGGCCAGGTCCATCCTTGGGGCTGGCTCGTGTCGTCTGGGACCGCTTAGCAACTAAACTGAGGCCCTCTCCTTGCCAGCCTCTTTCAAACACTGGGGAACGCCTGCGGCAATTGATCTGGGCGGGACCCCAAGCTGAGCGGAAGTAATGTGCCTTTTTCCAGTATCTTCGCCTCTGCTTGGGCCAGCAGACTCTTTCCCTGCAGCGAAAGTTCAGGCTGTTCCAGCTTCTACCAAGGACCTGCTGGTCAAAAGGGCGGGCCTGGTACTTCTGAGGCGCTGCCTCGTAACATCGCACAACTTGCACCAATGCCAAATCCTGGGTGCATGGAATAACGTATGCACGTCACCACGCCTTACCAGCGTCACACTTGGAGAGCAGCTTTGCACCTCAAGCGCCGCAAGAGGCCGCAAGGCCACGTGACAGACGAAGACTAGGAGATTGTGGCCCATGCTAACCCATCCGCTTTCGGGACCAGAACCTCCAGAGTCGTGTGGACGCTTTTTTCATTGAGTCTATAACTTGTGAAAACCTTGCCTGACACTTTCTTGAATCGCAGACGCTCTCCAACCTGAATGACTTCCAAACTCAGGACGACGTGCCAGCCAGGTCAAGACAAGAATCGCTGAGACGTGAACGCGCTCCAGCTCCGACACCACAGCGCCTGTTTGTCAGGGCTTGCAAATCGCGATGGCCTTGATCAGCTACTGAAGAATTCGTAAGTGCAAAGCCCCTGACCTATGCCAAGTCGGGCCAGCTGCTGGGAGGTCAGGCCTCTGCGGCTCTTTGCGGTCAGCAAGTTTTACAAGTGCAATCTCTGGGCTGTACGCAGAAGAGGTTTGCCAAGTTCTCTGCTCTTGCCCTCGCGGACCAAAGCGCCCCCGAGCTCGGCACAGGAAACGACCTGCAGCAGGTGTTGACTATTGGCTACTTCCTATCGCAGGCAGCCTCCCTAGAATCCAGCAATGGGGTCTGGAAGCTTCAACCTTCCAAGCAAGCAGTGGAATGCCTCGTAGTGCACCATGGCAGGGCTTGAGGCACCGACGCTTTTTTAAATCTGCTGTCGGGTTAACAAAGAATGAGTCCTTCGTTTGTGCGTGATCAATATTTTGTTTTCTTTTGCTTCTGTATTTGTTTCTTCAACCACCCACCTTCGTGCTACGGGCCGTGCTGTTGCTGCATACAAACCACAAGTCCCGGCCTTTGGCCCAATGTTCAACCGAACTTTCGAGCCAGAAACGACATGCAAGGCTTCTCAACCAACAGAAGAAACGAAATGGACTAGCAAGCGTCCAGCAAAGCGTAGGGTGAGCATAAACCAGCAACACACGGACTCGCAGATGCGAAAGCCAGACACAATGTCCTGAGACGAAGGCGCTGGAACAGCACAGGGGCTGCACCTGAGCCAGGCTCCAAAGCAATACTCTCGTTTCCGATCCGTCGCCGCCTGAGGCTATTTGTGCGAGACAAGGCTTGAAAAATCTGGAGCTGTGGTACAATGGCACGGCTCGGCAGCTTATTGACACTTTGGATCTCTGCTTGCGAACTCGCGGCAGCTCCGCTGCGACAATGCCCTGGCCACCTCCAAGTCGCATGCTACAACGAGCAAACCCTGCCAGACTCTGCCATCTCTCCGGCAAATGGAACCTCGTGGGCCAAGTTGATGCAAGAAGATGACATCAGCACTGCTCTCCTGAGCCGCGCAGATTGCTCGAACCCCTTTCACCGGACGTCATGCGACTGTACAACAGTTTTCACCCTTGCAGGCTTTCCTTTTCTACTGCACCCTGGACTATGACCAGTTTCCTACTGGCCTGCCTGGCATCAGAGTCACGGTCCACAGGCTGCAAGTCTAAGGCCATGAGCCATAACCTCGGAAAGCTTTCAAACAAGAGCTCCTATCCAAGCAAGACATCATTTATGATCATTTACAGACTTCGCACATACACATTGCCCGTAGAACGGCGTGTCAGTGTACCTCCTGCACACTTGATCTGCTGGGACTTTGACGGCAGAGTTTGCTCAAGCATCCCACGGGGAAGTTCGAATGTCAAAGCCTGCGGAGCCACAAGATGACGGCACAGTACCTGTCCTTGCCACACAAAGGGCCCCACCTTGCCCTTGCCGTTGAAACAAGCAAATCCTCTGGGCATTGCTGTCGAGGAATCTGCCTTCCCCGAAACTGCTGTGCTCACCAAAGTTCAACGGAAGCTGCACGTCACGTCGCCGAGATGACGGAAAGCGAAGCTTTTGTCCGATCCTCGATCATCACTGGGTCCAAATCCAACAGTCTCAAGACCAGGGCGGGCTCATGCCTGTCATTTGCTCCGATCCCGATCAGGACTCGGAGCAGACTTCAAACTGCTCTATACGTAAACACAAGATACAGCAACAACCGGATCCCTGCAACTTGTGTTCCTGGGACATTTTTGCTGCGAAACCAGCCCAATCCCAACCCACACGGCAGACACTTCACTGTCTCTGGTTGAAAAACCACATATCTTGCACTTACCGCATGTTGCAAACACTCCACAAACACCGCACTCGCGGGAAAAAGTGCCTTGTCCGCTGCTTGTCAGTGTCCTGAACTGAGCCGCGCCGGCCCCATCCCTGCGTTCAACATGAATGCTAAAAATGCGATCATTAAACTCGACGCGCCTGGATGGAGTCAACCACCACTTCCAGCGTAAATGCTTCCATTCTCGCAAACCATTTTTATGGCTTCGCTCTCTTTCCGGGACACTGGCTAAAAACTTTTAAATAAACGGTTTACCTTCTGAAATTTGGGTAAGTAGCAACCAAAGGCCAAAGGTGCTTTCGAAGTACGGGCCCGGCACCCAGCGCTTCAGAATGATGTCAAGTACGCACTTGAGCCACTTCGCATCATGCAGGCACTGGTCGCTGCACGTCGAGCAACACTTTGGCAAGTTTCACTGTCAAACACTTGGCAGAACTCCGCAGTGTTGAGCTTCGCTGGACTCCAAACTGAAGCCACACTTTAATTCCCAACTGGGTCCCAAAACTGGGAACGGACCACAAAACGTGGAAAACCAAATGACGTCCATGGTCTAGGTTGAAACAAAGCATCCATGCCCAAAACCTGATGACATCCCATGGTCTAGTCTGTTTGACAGAGCATCCATGCCCAAGAGCCAATGACGTCCATGGTCCAAAAAGCGATTGAAAACAGCCCAAAACCTAATGATGCCTCACTCTGAACGACATGAAATGGTCGAGTGCATTAAGTGTCGACCAGATGCTGATCATGAACATGCTCTGCGACGGCGTTGCACCAGAGCCTGTGGCAGCAGTACTTGCAATGCTAAGTGCTAGAAGTTGTGCTTGTAGAACTGGCAGGTGCACACATTTTCGAAGGGTTTTTCGGCCCCTGAACATGAGCCCGTCAAATCTGTCAGAATGAAGGTCGAAAACAAGGTCTGAGTTGGTCCTTTTTTGAAGGAGTACACTTTGAATCTTGTTTTATGGCTTCATCCAGCTTCATTTTGAAACGGCGCATGGTCATGTGAAGTCTTTATGTGTTTTTGTGGAGTGCTTGCTCCGAGGCTTATGGAGTCGTTTAGAGTCCAGAGAGATTTTTAAAATGTCCATTCGTTGTTGTGATTTGCAGTTGTAACCGTGTTGCAACTTTGTAGTGAGCTCGTAGTGATCTTTGCTGTGGTGACTTGTAGTGCATGTCAAGCGGGTGGTCACTACTCCTGAATTGCACAAACGCAGAATGGAAAGTTGAAAGGTGTTGAAAACACCAAAGTAAAAACTCTTTGGCACCGCGGCTCTGTCTCTTTCGAGTCTGGACGTTAGACATGTGACACCCTGTCTTCGAGGTTGACAATCGCAGGACATCTCTTCCAGCTCTTTTCCATCGACGAGGCATTGATGACAAGCAAAGTAACTCGGTCGCTTCCTACGCTCAGAAACAGGCAGAAAAAGTTGACACCATACCCTCCACCAGTTTTCGAAATGGAGAAGGACTGTCTTTTCTCTGAGACACTGCACATGGAGCAGCTCATACATTTCATGTGCGACTTTCCAGTTGAAGCATGGAAAACTTCTTGAGACGTTGGAGCAGTGGTGGCTTGGACCATGTGTTGCATCATGATAGAGTAGCACATGTTGCCTGTGTTTGGGTGGCAGCATTTTATTCTGGAATCCGACAAATGCAGTTGTATTTCGATTTTTTGTCCTTTTCTTTTCAACCTTGTGGTGATCTTTGTACCGATGGTAACCTTGTAATGACTTCGAAAAAGTTACCATAAGTTCCCCTTTAACATGGATGATTGCGCGAGACCACGTCCTTGGTTCTGAACAACCATGGACATCATTAGGTTTTGGGACATGATGCTCTTTTTTGCAAACGCTTTGCATGACATCAAGACCACAAAAACTCGAGAAACAAGAACTTCATTCTGATCCCCATTTTTTCAGCGTGAAAATCCAGACTTCAAAACACTGCAAACAAACAAATTTTAAAAATGAATGCTGTAAATGCTGGCGGTTGTGACTGCAAAATTGAAGATCAATAAACCGCTGCTTTTATGATAGCACGAAGTCTGAAAAAATGATAAGTCTTGGCGTCGCACAGGGGTGGAAGTCCTACTACGACTACTACACCTCTTCCTGGTCCTCCTCTCGTCCTCCTCCTCCTCCTCCTCTAACTCCAACTATTACTACTATTGCTAGTAAAATTAATATTTTTAATATTTGTGCTACTGCTACTACTACTACTACTACTGCTGCTGCTGCTACTACTACTACTAACTACTATTATTTCTGCTACTACTGCTACTACTACTACTATTACTACTACTGCTACTACTACTACTACTACTACTACTACTACTACGTACTACTACCTACTACTACTACTACTACTACTACTACTAGTACTACTACTACTAGCACTACTACTAGTACCACTACTACTCCTACTACTACTACTACTACTACTACTACGTTTACTTCTATAGCTACTACCACTACTACTACTACTACTACTACTACTACTACTACTATAGCTACTACTGCTACTACTACTACTACTACTACTACGACTACTACTACTACGTTCGCTTGGATGAGCTTGATTGAGGAATTGGCATGCCTGTTCTCTTTCTTGTCTGTTATCTTGCTGAGCCATGCAACAGTCATGGTGCGACTTGAAGCTGGCGAGCCTGTCCCCGCTACGCGCCGAATGGATTGGTGCAGCGTCTGAATGATTCGGTGAGTAATACTATTGGCCGCAGGGCCGCAATTGTTGGATTGATTTTATCTGATTATGTGTGTCGTATTTAACTGGATCCATTTTGCGAGCATGCGTGCTGATCAACAATTGTTTTGTTTTTATTTTTTCAACTGTTGGAGATGTTGCCGCATGACTGCTTCCTTCGCTACGCAGTCGATGATCCAAAGGGGCCTTTTGAGCCTTACTCTGTGGCAGGTTGGCGCGGGTGGCGGGAAAGTGTTCTGGCTAGTCTAGTCCATGTCGCGATTGAGCTGGAATTGCGTGCACGTGCAGCTGCTTTCCGGCTTAACAAAGTGACAAACTGGCGAGCTGCCTTTTTGCAGGAAGTGTCACGGCAATCAGCAGTGTGCAGCATCATCATTTCAAGTCACAGCAGGTGGTATTGAGCAACATGAAAGTGAATGGTTAACCGTGTCCAGATCAATCCCATCGCCAAAGGTCGCATTAGCCGCCCTGGAGTCGTGAAAGAGATTAAGACGCGGTCGCTTCTGTTGAACCCAAACCTCAAGCTTGGGCTTCGGCGCCCTTCAAGGCGAAGCTCTCCACAGCTTTGACCCCTAGGAGAAACCCCGACGGAAAACCCTACAACACCCGAAATCCTGCGGAGCGCATGGGCTGCTGGAGCTAGGAGGACGGCCGAGATTCGGGAATCTTCCCAGTTCCGAAACCCAAGCCCGTCGCAGAAGCAGGAAGCTGGGCGCGCTGGCGCGCTTCGCCTTCTACAGCGAAAGATGGCTTGGCTGGGAGCAGGGGCCTTGAAGTGTTTCAGAATTTGTAACCCGACTAGAAAAAACTCCGGTTTCTGCCTTACCCGGAAGGTCCGGCTTGTCAAGCACAGCCTCGTTGCCCTTGTCCTGTTCGTTAGCACCGTGCTGGCGCCGCGGGACCCGGTAAGTGAAGTTGAATATTGACTCTGGCACAAATTTCTTTTGCCGTTACTGGTATCTTAGCATGAGATCTGAGAATATTGTGCTCCGTCAAGCTGACGAGTGCAAAAATGCGGCATTATCATCATCGCAATACGCATGATGTAAAGACGACAACACAACGACGGCATGTCGAGTTTCCGTTATGGTGACAGTTTCTGTAACACCAGCAATAATGCGAAAGACGTAATGCGAAAGCCATCGGGCACAATACAACAGTTCGTTGCAAAAGCTCGTTAGCGTTTAGACATAAGACGAGCATATAAGCATGTAGTGAACTCTTAGAACTTCAAGTCTGGAGCTTTTCAGTGGACCGCTCTACGACAAGTTGTCATGCAATCGAACAGACGTGCAAAGGACGAGAGACAAGTAACCATGCACCAGCAGACCCAAGACAACCAACAAAGCACTACATATATATATATATATCTCTATATATATATATATATGTACATACATATTTGTCATGCATGTATGCATGCTTGCGTGAATGTATGCATGTATGCAGCTATCACGTCTGGCCGTTTGCATGCTTTTTGCGTAGGTTTCCGTGTGCATGTATGCGATATGCATGCGTACGCGCATACTAAGTGTATCAATGTTTTTGCATATAATGTGTTGGAGATTGTACAGCATATATGTGTACTCTTGGCCGAGGCCTCTGCTGCTTCTTCTCCGTGGAGAGTGCGTTCCTTGCATTTGGGTTGGCTTGGGCCTTTTCGCTGTGCGGCCGGCCTGGAAATGGGGATTCTCCGCAAAGAAAAGAGCCGAAAGCCCCCGAATCCTCGTGGACATCAAAACTCCTTGGAAGCCTCACTGCTTTCTGGGGAATGGTTATGGGACATTAGAAGTTTCAGCCAGCTCTGTGCAGTTACAGTAGGATCGAAAGGCTTTTGGGTTGCCCCTTGAGGAGGTCGGAGAACATGGCCGTTACTGCCAAAGTAACGACTCCCCATTCTACTACTACCTGCCACTGTCTCTCTTGCTCTTGCTTTCCTAGTAGATAGTCATACAGGCGACGTTTATAGGGGTCCTATCAGAACAGATGAGCACCTCAATAAAGATCGCTAGAAGTAATATCAGAACGATAGTAACTGTCGCCAGGTAGGCGTTGCTTCGCTGCTCGGGGCGGCGGTTTGTCGTACCTTCGACCGAAGCGGCTCGGTAGAAGTAGGTTTACGGTTTGGGATGATTGGGGGCGATGATAGTTTCTGGAAAAGGATGTAAGTAAGACCATAAAGAGAAACAGAAGCAGCACATGCACCAGTAATGCATACATATATGCATGCATACATGCATAGATACATACGTACATACATACA